CCCATTTTTTCATAGGATCATTACAACAGTGAAATTGGGATAAAAATAATCAAGCTCAGTAATATGTTTCACTGTGTAATGTATCAAATGTAAAAACAATGACACTTCATTAAGGAACACACTATACTGTCATCAACCAGATTGATAGCTTTTATTTTTTTCAATAATTTCTTCAGAAAGCAGATAGCATTTATCCAGTGGAAACCCCAGTTTACACTGACATTAATAAAAATGGCTTTCACATTCTACAAAGACTGCAGTGCCACAGTAAAAAAGAATCTTAAGTTACAACAAATAGAACGAATGAAAATGAATGAATATGTACATGTCTCTTTCTCCATCAGCAAAATGAAAAATGAAGACTAGAAAAATAAAATCAAATATGTCCCATGGGGACAGTGTTACATCCATAATAAAATATTTTAATCATTTTTTCTGTGTGTTCCAACATCCCTGCAACATCCCAACATCAACAAAAAACCACAGATGCAGTGACTCAAACATATTCACATCATTCTTGAGTTCTTTTCTGACATAAAAGATTCATGGACTGACAACATTGAGTCATACCCTAAAACTTTGTTCTGCATTCATTTTCTTACAGTAGAGTGCAAGCATTGCTGAATGAGCTGGAACTGAAAAAGCTCAAGATCAAAACAGTTTGAGGGAACTGGAAGACCAAATACAAAGTGTTTTCCTTTTCACAAGGCCAGTAAGTTCCCAAAAAAACCCAGGAGATCTCAAAATTTCATCCCCCAGCCGGTCCATACAAACAACGGGCAGCGGAATATAGTCCAGGCTTGGCCCCTAAAATTTTTCACAAACTTGTTCAGATTTGAGAATGTACTATGGATTCATATCCCGCATTGTTCTGGTGTGACTAGAAGGGGTGACAGGATTCATCTTTTTTTCAACCAAAAAGCTCTAGCATGAGCCAGTTCCATTCTGGTGCCTGTCTTCACACTGAGCAGATTCAGTGCTGTATAGTGCTTACAGGATTCTAAGAGTTAGTTGCACTCAGTATTGCGCAGGCTACAGACAGGATACAGCTGGCTTTGTTAATACCCAACACTTATATACTATTGGTTGTTAATAAAAGTACACTGTAACATAACCTTCCGCCTGGCGCTTGTCCATGCTGTAAGCACACAAGAATGTTGGTCCTGTTTACAGCTTGGCCCCTGCTGTTGCAGGAGAAGCAGACACATCCTATTGCTGCCTGTTTCTCACAGTGAGCCTGAATGTTCCACATTCCGTTATCGCAGCTCAGGCGGTGTCCCTCAGCTTCCATGGACACGCTGTGTTTCATCCTCTCTCCCCTTCCGAATGGTCAGTGTCCCTCTCAGAGACGGCACACAGCCACGAGGACAAGGCATCATCAAACCCTGCTGGGAGTCACAGGCTCTCCGTTCACAACCTGCGGAGGATCAGGAACGTTGACCAACAGAGGTAGAAAAAAATCAGCTACTGTTGCAAACCATTCCATGCTCAGTAACTGTAATTGACATAATGGCAAGAACCGGCAATCTGTGTTAGGTCTAGAGGGAACCACAATTACAAGTAACATCAAATATTGGTTAAATTAAAAGGGAAGGCTTACCTGGAACTTCAGACGTCGGTCTCGAAATCTGACAGTCAGGACCACTGCTAGCAGCACAATCAGGACAAGAATGACCCCACTTACAGCAAATGCTGCTGTTTTGTCTGCAGGTGGTGCAACGGTTGGGTTGACTCTTGTATCTGTTTCTGTATGTTCAACAAAAGACACACACACAGAAAACACTTTTAAAAAACACAAAAAGAGACTTCCAAAAGCAACACATGTACTACATAGCAGAGCTGAAACGGTAAAGTGAATAAAAGTGAATGAGTGAGTGAGTGGGGGAGTAAATGAGTGGCTAGGTAAGATTGATAATGTATTCAGAAATACATTTTTCAGGAATTTTCAGACTTAAATTTGATATTGCAAGTCATCACAGATGTTGCCTACATTGAACACAAAAAAAAAAAAATACCAGGGACAGCGGGTTACATTACTCACCACTTATTGTCAGATTAACTTTAGATTCGTCGTACTCTGGATTTTTATAGTAGCATGTGTATGTTCCCATGTCTGCCGTAGTCACCCCCAAGAGTAACAGAGAACAGTCCCTGTTGTGGTCAGAGAAGAACAAGCGTGTCCTGCCCTCGAACTGATCAGATATATTTGACTTGTTCTTATGTTCACGGATGTAGTAATCCACAACTTTGCCCTGGATTTGCCAGACAAGGTAGTGGTCCTCATTCTTGGGACAGACACAGGGCAAGAGCACATCGAGCCCACTGGTGGCCTCTACGGTGTTCTCCATGCTCGCTGTATCAACACAATGACAGATGATTGGTTACGATACAAATCTGAAGGGGAAATCAGGCAGTATTGAACTTAGCTATGTATGCTTTGTGCTGTATTTTATACTGCAGGCTATTTTTTTTATCCTATGTGGATGTTTTGCAAATTAATATCTGTGGATGTAGCTTCCCTGAAAAGAGCCTTGACCTCTCTTAAAAAAGAAACTTCCTGTCTCAATGGGACCATCTTGTTAGATAAATTATACATATATAAATTAAGGATAGGGTGCATAATACATATATAAATAAAAAGTGTTTTCCCTGAATCAACTTGCATTCAAATTGTGTTCTTTCTAAAGAACGGCTACAGTGCAAACACAATGCCAGTGATCTCTAACCGTAACCAAACTGGCCTGAGATCCTCCAAAAGAAGATCAATGAACAAGCCTGTGCAAACCTAAGGCCAGATAGCTCTCTTTAATGACTTAAAGACTGCCCTTCAACACTAAGGGACAGATTTAGCCTCAGTATATCACAGAGTCCAGTGCTGAATTGCTGTTACATACTGTCACTTACTGAAATATGATTTTTAAAAAACTGCTTTGATTCTACTTCATGGGAATACAAAGGCAGCCTAAAATCAATTATAAATATTTCTCAATGATAAATGTGCCAATGGAATCAAAGTACTACATTATTTTCCACTACCAAATCAAAAGACAAACACTATCCTTTCATTACTCCCACGCGTGGGTTGCACACACAGGAACTGAGAAGCTGAACTGAAAATGTTTTTTTTTGTTTCAGTTCTCTTGTTGCTTTGTTCCCTCTGTCACACTGTCTGTCCACGTCATACACAAAGGAAGTCTCCTTCTGTACTTGCAGAAATAAACTGCTGATTCCTCATATTTTCCTTAAGCTTTCACAGACTGCTACCTTCATCCAAAGGCAATCCCTATTTCACAATACTCAATTAGGAGGTCACGGTTATTGAGGTCACAGTATTTACGCAATACATGCTTGCATGACACACCTCACTCTCTGTAGAAGAAAGTATTTCTCTTTCTTCTTTCAAAGAATTTCATCATCTTCACTGTGTAATTTTATACAGCCAATGTCCGCCCTCCACAACCATTGATAGCACATAACATATGTCACACTGTGATGTCATAAGGAAGATTATACTTAGATTATACTGACATATTTTGACACTTGGGAGATGTTCCAGTATGGTGTGCTCTAATGAAATTCAGCTTTGCACAGTCAGAACTTTTCACAACCAAGCCTAGTATTGTCAATATACTGTATGTTTATCAACTGCGTGGCGCATAAATAACAGTTAACATTTAATGTCACTTTGACAGATTTTACAGGTTTCTAAATTAACTACAGACTTACCAGTAATGTGTGCAGAGGCTAGTAAAATCAGAGCTGTCCACATGATGGTTGGTATCCTGATGGACAACAAGAATAAACACACACTGAGCTCGTTTTGAAGAAATGTCAGCATGTCTGCTAACAATATTCAGAAAGTTAACCTTTTGGATTTGAAGAATATTAATAAATTTCTATTCCCCACAATCATGCTGGCTCAGTCTGTGGAAGTGTAACGACGGTGCCATACAGTATGCAAAAGAACCTGCTTTCAGAACCTTACAAGCCATTACATTGTTTCATTTCAGTAGTGTGAATGATGCATCTAATAATGGTGTGGTGATCCTCCATATAACTTGAATCTCATGATTAATGCAACTTTTTAAAATCAATTTCGACAGAGTAGTAAATGAATTACTAAATGAATTATTATTTCTGTGTAGACACGGTGCAGTGGCAATTGTAGTATCGTTTGTAACCACACAAATTCCAACCGACAACTGGAGCGCGAATGGGGATTCCCCTTGTGATTGTTAATATAGCAAACACGTTATGTCTATAATCTTTCATATTTTCACATTTAGTTTTGCAGCAACAAACCTTGATCAGCATTAGATTCATGTACTGGGTCTACCATGCATGCGTGTGCTCCCACACACTGACACACATTCTAATAAAGACATTTTCATTCAACACCTATGCTCTGAATCACGCTCTGTAACGTATAAGAACTGTTAATAACCATATCGCTCATTTGAAAGAGATAAAGACTGAAACTGGCGGCAATCTGTGACTACGACAAAACCTGCAATCAAAGTCAACTACAAGTTTAAGAAGTTTCACATAGCGTACAATTCTGGCAAAATGTAATCATGTGTCTAACGTCAAAATATAACGTCTAACGTCAAAAATGCATGTATGATCTACCGATCAAATAAATAAATACGAAATATTAATTCATATTAATTCAGACATACCGATCAGTTGCCATTCTCTTTCCAGTGACAGTGGAAAGTGTGCCATGCATGGAAAATCCGCGAATGAAATGGAAAGTACCCCGATCTTGCCAGGACACAAACTGTGGAAAAGAAGGCGTTGACTTCGCAATGTACCGCCTCTGCTGGCGCACGTCCGCATACTGTAGTACAGATATTTCCTGGTAGGAGAGCACATCTCGAAAAAAGAAGTTGAAGAGGTCGTCAGGACTATTTCGAAGTGATCACATACGGAGATGGAATGTAATTGCATTACAATAGCAAGTTAATATTAGATTTCTCATATACATAATGATTTAAATCGGTAGTGTATCATAGTGGTAATGAGGAGGGCTCACAACCGAGTGGTTGCTGGTTCGATTCCCCACTTGGCCACTGCTGCTATACCCTTGGCCAAGGTACTTCACACAGAAGTTCCTCAATAAATAACGAGCTGTATAAACGGGTAATATGTAAAAATTGTAACATATGCAAGTCGCTCTAGGTAAGAGCGTCTGCTAAATGACAACAATGTTATGTAAATCGCGCGCGGCGGTGCCGTTTTTGTGGCTGTTGTTATAGCTCTAAAACGCTCTATACTCGTCACATTTCAATGAAAGCAGACACATTTGTTTTGTGCTGTGCCTCATTATCAAAATATGCGTTGCCAGAAATTATTGCATGTTGTGTAAACGGCCATTTTACACAGAGACAAGAGACCCTTGTGCTGGCGCAGCACTGCGAACTTCCTCCTATTCCACTCGTGCGTCTCGAACAGATTGATAAAAAAAAGAGGTACGGTGGCGCAAGAGACAGGGATTTCGCTCATAAACGTGAAGAGTCCATGACGTACTATAACGTATACAGTATAGTAATAGGCGCACCAACTGCTGTTGTTTACATTTGAGCATAGAACCTTTCCACCTTTGACAAAATCACTATACAAACAGGTAAACCTTACGGGAAGACTGAAAAAATGTAGGTTTTTACATCTCTCTGCGATGGGCAGTGCAATATATTACATTATCGTCATTTAGTAGACGGTCTTATTCAGAACACAGGTTACAATTTTATCCATTTATACAACTGGATATTTACTGAGGCAATTGTGGGTTAAGTGCCTTGCCCAAAGGTACAACAGTAATGCCCTAGCCGGGAATCTAACCAGCAATCTTTCGGTTTCGAGCCCTGCTCCTTACCAATATGTCACTCTTCTGCTACTAATAAAAATACGAAATAAATAATAAAACAGTTACACATTCTTGGCTCTAAGGTATACTGGTTTTCATAAATGCAGACAGGTGTATAAATAAAAAACTCATGATGCTAAAAAAAGGCAGATTCAAGTGCGTTATGCAATGTTTGCTCCTCATAACTATAAATCTGAGGTGAAAATCAAATTACTGAATCTTCCTTTTGAGATGTGGAATTTTCTGGCAAAAATAAAAAAAAAGAATGAAGAAAAACTGGGAAATTACTCCCTTTCCCCAGAAAAGAATGTAGCTGAGAAACTCCAGTACTATCAAGCACACACATGGCAAAGACTGGCAAATGAGAAATGAAAGACTCTTAAGTGGAGAGAAGGATGAATAATTGTAGGCTCTGTTAGGCCACAGGTGGGTGTGTCCCATCCAGCAGTGACCAGGGCAGAGAGTGTGTTTTCCAGTATAGTGATGGCCTGGGCTTTTTATCCAATAAGATCATTGCAGCCTCTTGGTAAAGGGGACTGGGCAGTAGGAGCAATTGTAATAATCCCCTATGAAAGCTCTACATGTTAAAATGCAAATAAAACAATAAGGAATATATTTTTACATGTAAAAATGGGTCACACACCATATAAAAGTTTCTTTTTCATATATCATTCATGTACATTTTGAAATATACATAACATTTGTATTCCACGTAAACTGAAACTCTGTCCCTTATTTCTACGATTTAATATTGTAAAATATGTTTGCATTTGTAGGGAACATAATTCAGTCATTACACGTAATGGTAATTCTAAAATCTCAAGGGAAAATATGGGTACTTTCCCACTGCCTGTTCTCTCAGCAGAGTGGTGCTGCTGACATTTAAGATACAACAGAAAGGGGAAGTTGGTCACAGCACAGGATGTTTAGTTCATGATAGATAACAGAAGCCTTGTTAGATTGCTTTGCCTCATAGACCTACATAGTGTATATTTTATGTATGCTGGACATGCAAATAAAGGCACAGATTGACTGTATTTGCAGCCAAAGTAGAGAGGAAAGTGAGCTTTAATGAAGGTTTGTAACAGCAACTGTCTGCAGTTTTGATGGTTGCAGGTAGCGCATTCTATTTGGGGCTCAGTGAGGAAAAGGGAGGAGTTTAAGATGTGCAGAGATATGCTACATGTCCAGTGGCTGCCGAATGCAGAGCTCAATAAAATCTGCTGGTGGATAACAACATAATGCATCAGTCTTTTGGAAGTTATAAATTGCCACAATCCCTTATCAACACCCACTTCCATACAGCATGTAAGAACTGGCCCCATGTAGTGAGTCATAATATGTGAAGATAGGCAAGCCACTCCTCCAGAAATTTCACACAATGACATTTTTTTTCTCTTTTGCATTGCAGACACTGCACCATTATTTTTAACACCCAAGATTAATGTGAAATGTAGCAACCGTCTGTGGAGGCTAGGCCCAGTGACCAAAGTACACTGGAGGTGCGCAGCAGTGAGCTGAGCAGGAAAACCAGATGTCTACCCAGGGGAACTGCAGTCAGTGAAGCTGCACCATACACGGTTTGCTGCTCTCTTTAGTGAGTCATCTATGGCCCTGCAGTTGTTTGGTTATTGCTTTTTGTTTGTTGTGGTCTGCTGGCTAACACGCTTGTTGGATCAACAGTGCAGCAGGACATGTCTACTACAGTATGTGGCCTTGCTATTCAGTGGTGTTAGTACTCTGTAGAGTGGGGGACCAGGGTTTCACACCCAGATAAGCTAATTGCCTTCCACAAAAAGCTCCTGTTTGCTGCAGTATGATGTTTTCATAGGTAATAGTGTGGTAACTAACCACCAACAAAAAACATTTTGAGGAAAAAAACACAATCAGGAGTAGCCTGTCTTTACAGATGGCAACTTTATCCTTTAAGAAATACGTAGAAATAATCTTATTATGTGGGACAAGTGTTTGGGTTACAATCAGCTACTTGCATTAGAGGACAACTCTACAGACATTTCATTGATTAAAAAAAAATCCCACCTCCCTTTGCCTCAATACAAATTATGAGAATATATATGCTGCATGCATGTGACAGACATATGCAGTTCTCTTTTCACCCTTTCCTTCTTTGGAATATTAATCACGTAGCAGACTTCACTTCTACAAAGGCTCAGAGAAATGTATAACACTTCTCGAAGGTTCATAGAAGTACACTTCACTCCTATTAAGACCCAGAGAAGTATACTGTACATCAATCCCAGTTTCAGGCAAATATTCTTGTGTTATTCCAGACCAACCCAATCACAAAGAAGTTTTGAAAAATAAATGCATAATATTTGTGCGCACCCGACATCCACATCTTCACCTATGCCCAAAATTGTCCTCTTTATCCACCAGATAATAGCCCAGAGTGAAAAATGACTTTATCTGATGGACTTTATTTGATTTTTGCAGTCAAATGTATAGGTACATCTGACTTCAAAATCATATGTAGTAAATTGATGGATCTGTATGGCTTATGACCTGATATATAATTATGAAGAATGCCGGTAGTCATTTCAAAAGGGTAAACTCCACTCATAATTCGTAACGCAATGGAGGTAACTGAAAATGGGCCTTGTCTTTGAGTGAAATCTGTGAGCAAGACAAGATGTTGTTCATAGTCTGTGAAAAGTATCTTTATCTCATTCACTAACCTTCAAAACTAGACTAATCTTCACTAACCTTACTAGTTCACTAATCTTAAAAGCTAAAAACATAAACTCCATTAAATTCCTTAAATAAGATGGTATGTAGTCTGAGCTGCATTTCATCATCTTCTATCACTGCCGCATAGTTAATGACTTGTGCTGGTAGCTGAACTTGATTTTTATGCACAAATATGACTTGCACATAGAATCTTAATGGTCAGTCTAGGGCTGTTGAATAAGACCTTTATCTTGACATACCCATCTGGTTCAAAATGATAATGCTTGGGCCAGTGATTGCCAGGGTGTTATCACATCTGGTATTGAGAGGTAGGGTAGTTCTCTCAGCCTGTTCTTCAGAGAAGAAAAAGTCTCTACAGGTATCAGTGCTTCCAGCCATTACAACAGTTGTTATGTTGTGAGTATGAGAGTAGGATATGGTGCTGATGACTGTCTCGTGCTGTGCATTATTTCACAGTGCCATCCACACAATCACATGGAATTGTTATATGACACATGGCACAGTAATGCTATGTTGTAACATAAAAGGCATGCTAACAAAAGGTTGGTCATTTTTTCCAACTTTTTGTAACAACTGATAGCTCTGTTATAGAAATAGTGTATAATGCACATTTCAATTCATTCATTTCTCCTTTACATAATGGAAAGACTGTAATTAGACAACTTGCTGTCCTTGGAAGGAGAACACTGTGTTACCTGTGATTTGTCTAACTGCATTATGTTGTCTTACTGTTTCTATTCTTTCCTTGGAAATAAAGAAAATGAAAATAAGAACTAAAACAGTTCAATGAAATACATGTAGGCCTAAAAATAGGTCTTGTGTGAGAACCGGACAGAGCACCAAGTGTTGGACAAAATTATACTAAGCACAAAAAAAGAAAGAAAAAAATACTCAGAAAGTGCATGTAACAAACCTGTGGCTGGTGGTTATGTAGCTGACGTAAAGATTACGTTGAATAATTGCTGCAAGAGAGGAAGGAAATACATTCACAGTAGTTCATGGAAACTGGCTGATCAGCAAATCAGGTGACATACTTTTGTTGATCACGGTGTATGCCATAAAACTTAAACTGACTGGTACTTCTTGAAAGACTAGTTCCTAAAGTTTCTTAGCTATATTGACTGTGCAGATGTGCTTGACTGGCCTGTGCCATACCTGTTTATATTCATATAAATATTTATTTAAAGGATATTTAAAGGTGTTCAGACTTTAGACTCTTATCTTTGCCATATGCTGTGAAAATGCAGCCCACACAAGGAAACTGCAATTCAAATAAGTGCTCTATGACTGGCTCAAGAAATGTTTACTGAGTTGCTCATGTATTCATCATTTTGAAATGTGACCAGTAACAAGAATAAAATTAGAAAGTACATCTTTATTTTGCAGGTTTACAAGCAATAGAGTAACTTTGCATCAGTTTCATTAGTAATTCAGGGAATGTAGCCTATTTCTGAGTTTTTATTAGCTAGATAGATAGATGGAGTAATTGTTTTAATAAATTGT